TGATTCCCTTTCTGACGATGACCGCTACAACCCCCCCCCCCCCCCCCCCTGGAGCTGGTGCGATCAAGTCGGATAATGTTGTGGTCAGGCAACCAGAAGCTGTCACCGGACTTTAGGTGGGTCTCGGTTAGAAGAACCACGTCGATGCTATGCTTGCGGAGGAAGTCGGCAAGCTCAATATGTTTTGCTCTTACAGTGCAAGCGTTCCAGGTAGCGATGGTTAGCAGTTTAGACACCATACTGGATGATGAACTTACCGAGCACTTGGATCTGTTCGGGCTTATTGCGGCACTTACGTAGAGCACCGGTCATGTTGATGAAAATCTCCATCAATTCATCCGCTGTGAACAGATCGGGATTATTTGGTTGAGCTGTTGGTTGTCTCCAGAATCCAGCGGGGATGGAGAGCTTTGTCCAGCAGAAGATTCAGACGTTTCTTGAGGGGGGGGAGGGGGGAAGTCCTCCGTCCTGAAAGCCGGGGCCTTATCCTTCCTTCGCGCTGGTTGATGTTTGGTGCACGCCTGATTTTGGATGCGCTTGAAAGCCTCGCGTTTAGGGCACTGCTTGTTGGATCCTTGGTGAGCACCACCACAGTTAGCGCATTTTAACGCCACAGCTCCATCCGCAGGGCAGTCGGAAGTGGCGTGGTGCGCAATTGCCACAGTGTGGCTTAATGCTGCAGTTGCGGGTGCCGTGTTCCAAGTTCAGACACCGTTGGCACTGAGTCACATCACGATGGCCGCCACGGTATGGCTCCCAGCGGACGATGATGGAATCGATGGAGCGGATGGCTTTCAGTGCGTTGAGCGTCACCGTTCCCTTCTGGAAGTGTGCCAGGAAAAGGCTATCCGGATACGCCTTCACATTTTCGTCCTTCCTTGTCATCCGATAGACGGCACTTGGGGCCAGCTTGCACCGGTCTCTGATTTCAGCTTCGATAAACTTCGGGTCGAAGAATGGTGGGCCCATAATGACGACCTTGAATGACTTCTCACCGGGAATGTCGTGGGTGAAAAATTCCACCTTGGAAGTCCTCAGGTGGGCGACGACCAAGTCATACTCCGCTTTGGTACGGAGCACCACCTTGGTGCCGACTCTGCCCAACTTATATTCGGGCCGGCAGAATGTTCGTTGCCGATGGCGTCGCCGAAATCACCGATGTCGCTGGCGTTCGTCGCAGTAACATCGGACTGGCCTCGATTCTTCTTCCTCTTCGTGCTGCGTTTTTCCAACACAGCTGGCTGGATATTCCCATCCATGGGGAGAACAGCAAACCTGTTCGAGGTAGGCACACCGGAGCTTCCTTCACCGGGGTTCTGGACCTTCGCCGGGCTTCGCGACCGATGCTTCCCCATTTTGGGGCACACACACACGCACGACAAACCGCGAAGAAGGCAACTTCAAAATCATCTTCAGAACTTTGTTCTCAATTCTTTGAAGTGCTTTTTTCCTGGTAGTGCAAGATCTAGACCATTTATTGGCACAGCATAAAGCAGGTCCGATCTAAAAACTTCTTGAAATATTAGAAGTTTATTCTTCAGGCAAAGTTTGGTTTTCCTGTTTATAAGAGGATACAAGCATTTTATATATTTGATACATTTGGCTTGAATGTGATCTTTAAATGCTACCACTTTCAATAGGATTACAATCTAAATCTGTGGACCTCATATCGGCTCTTAATTATGCGAGCAGTATAATACAGATTTTTAAGGAGAGACGAGCGACGCGGAATCAAAATTTGCTGAAATTTTCAATGCAGCCTCAAAGCTACATATATCTGTTTTTGATAGCGCAATTACGACTCCACGTGCATCCAAGCTAACAAAACGTACAAATCAACCAGTAGAAACACCAGAGGAATACTATAAAAAAGCAGCTTTCATTCCATGTCTCGATGGATTGATCCAAAACATGATGGAACGTTTCACACAAAATGGTGACATCCTTCCGGTGTTCCAATTATTTTTGCCTGGTTTTACAGATATTGGAGAGTCATCCCAACTTCACAAACTTAACTGTTATTTCGATAATTTCACCAGCTAGAAAAACTCGTGAAAGATGGCTCGGAAAAATGGCCAATTCCTGAAAGTAGACCTAGAGATCCGCGATTTTTTTTTTCTAAATTGTATACGATCATGTGCATATACCAGTGGAAATTAATATAAAGACAAATCTAAGAACCATAGGAATTCTACATCATGTGTGTTTGGAAACCACATTATCATGCCACAATATGACCCTAAGAAAGAGCCAATTGCATCGTGTACGTAGGAAAAATAAATGGAGATGTGATTTTCTCCTTCAGAAATAAATATAAGGACGCCATACAAAAATGTATGGGAAATTGAACATTTTCAAAACATTATTTAGCATGTTGAAAATTATGTTGGCACCAAAAAAATCCGAGTTATTTTTTTTCCTTGATTTGTTTTCCGTCGATCTTGTTTTCCGTGCTGAGCACCAATGCTACCGACGCCAGGGAGGCAGCTCCCACACCTGGACCCTACCTATCGACCCATCAACTCATGAACCGGGGACCAACGGCTTTACTTCCCTTCCGAAGGAAGGCGTGATCAGAGATGTTATGCCTTAGAACATCCCGGCGGAGCCGACTGGGATTCAACCCTGGCCTACTGGGGTCAGAGGTAATCAAAGAGTTAGTTAAAATAATCATTGAGCGTCATTTCTGAAAAGTTTTAAGCAGATCCAATCGCTAGAAGTTCTAAAATTCACAAAAATCATTGGTTGATCAGCGATGATCACATAGGAGATACATACATTTAGGCGTTTTCCGAGCTAGTTATTACCTGGGTTCGTCTTCAGGAGGTAGCAAGAAAGCTTCAATCGACGGAACGACATCTTTTTTTTCGTTTTCTTCCCATTTTTATCGACGCGGAAGAAGTCCTCTAAGAAATGGGCCTGCAAATAATTAAAAAAGATCATAGCAACATTGATAAAATGCAAAACACTTGTACCGTCAACACATACGCTACAGACTCGCGAGCTTGGTTTAATTTCGCCGGTTCCGGAATCCATCCGACAGAACTTAATCCATTGGGATCTTGTGATATAATCAGTAGGAAAGCGCAAAAAAACCAATCCAGGATAATTTCTGCTGTTCCGGCCGCAGTATTTCACCTGACACTTCATTTTGGCTGATTCACTACGAGTCTCTACAAGTGATTTTTCAACTCCAACTTTCCACAAGCATTAAGTCCTTTGCTTTGTTTTTTCCGTCGATCTTGTTTTCCGTGCTGAGCACCAATGCACAAGCATTAAGTCATCCGACGGTAACACGTAAACAACAGAGACACGAAAAACCGAAACCCCTCATTATGGGAACAAATTACTTGATAATTTTTATTTGCCAAGAATTTTCTTGCGCAATATTGTGATTGATTTATTTGATTTTGTGTGTAGTATTTGCTTCTCCCTCCCAGGTTATTACTACCTTGTGCGTTTCACTCGTTTCGAAACCAAATGTGGTCGAAACGAGAAAAAAAACACTTCAAGCACATGGATTGACAGATGGATTTTTTCATCGATAATATTTTCGAAGCGCTATGTAACCCGTAGTGTAAAATAGGATACATCCCAAGATATAATTTTCTCGGTGGTGCAATCGAATTCCCAGGGTTTTCTCGGTGATTTCAAATTCAAGTTTTTTCTCGGTTTACCCGCAATTCCCTGGACCTGACTTATAAGCATGCTTGGCATACACAGTTGTACATACCAACTGCCCATTTGTTAATAACTTTTCACTCAGTTGTTGAAATTTGTTTTTCTTTAAAGTAATTGATAGATTAGGATCATAGTTTACTATAGATATGCAACGAGTAGGTAAATCTTCACATTTGAATCAACGCCAATGATTTTTACACGGTAAAGTACAAGATGTGCAGCGAGCATTTCTCACTTCATTTTTACAACGCAAAAACAAATACAGTTTATTACTAGTAATAAAATCTACTTGTTTTTACGTATTTAAAATAAACTTAAACTCTATTCTATCTACTGTTTCAAAAATAACTATGTTACGTCAACTGTGTGCGAAGTTATTAGCAAATGAGCAGTTGGTGAGTACAACTGTGTATGCCAAGCATGCTTATAAGCATGACGGTTGTACGTATTATCCGGGAAAACACGAACTCGTTTAATGTTACATTCATTATGCTATATTAAATTAGATGAGGAATACATTCCCGAGTTAGGTAACACAGTAGCAGTTTATATGATTAGTTTGAAATCGTTAGTTAGTTTGAAATCGGTGATTGTAGTCATTGTTAACAAAATCAATGTTACTGCAGTCCACGTAAAGCACCATTTCAACAATACCTAATTCTTGCAGAACGTTCTTTTACTTCTACTTGAAATCGAAGGCATCTGCCGGTAATAGATTTTTTGGTCTACAAGACAATTATTATTTATCAATACATAGTGTTTTTCTTTTCTTTCGTTTTACAATTTATCATTAGATAATTATTCAATCGTCGAGGTTCGACTGAAAACTTGTTGATAAATTTTGTATTTATTTTCGTTTTTTTTTTACAGCACTTTAATCGAACACTTCTAAAAGCAGTGAGATGTGTTTCTTAATTTTCTTACAATTTACATCAAACTATCAACATATTGTGTTAAGTTGTTTCAATTTCTTTTCACTGTGTGCTGACTGCTTAGGCTGCTGAATGTTTAGAAAAAATAATCTTCTGTTGAAATAGGGAATGGTTATTAAAAATTAAAGGGTAAAATATACGTGTAAAAAGTATGTTCGGTATAAATGTAAATAATCAAAGATCACAAATTGAGATTTTAGACAAATTTCTCCTTCCCATGGGGTATGGGTCCGTGCGGATTCATTACAATTCTTATTTTTTGTCGTGTAAATAAATACAAATAATTGGAAAATGTTTGACTTACAATATAAAATAAAAGAAAAATAATGCATAATTGTGTCACTTTCGAAAATCTCGCGCAAATCGTTGCCTAATTTGATAACTTCACTCCAAGGTTGGAAAAAGTGATAGCTTTACAGTTCGCTATTTTACATCTAAGTTATCTAGTAAACCCAATCACCATTAGATTTTTCGGATTTTCTTCTTAATTTTGCAGCTGCGAACGGAGTCACGTTATAGTCTACCCAATTTCTACAAAGAATGTCCGCGATAGACACGAAAGTTATTGAAAAAGAAAAGCATACTCTCTTCAGAGCACCCAAATGCAGTCGCTTATGGTCCGCTTTAGGAGCGACAACCTCCGGCGCAGTCCGGTGTTCGGCGTCTTCCGCTGCTTTGCTGTCGACCTCCGGTTAGTCCCGTTCCACTTCGCTTTGAGGTGTCCCCATACTGAATTCCACTACCAATCCGTTCCGGATCAAGTTCGCCAGTCTCGATCTTGGCGAGGATAGTTTTCGAGCATTTCAAGAATGCTTCCTCCACGTTTTCGCCGGTTTTTGCACTCGTCTCCAAAAAGATCAGCTCATTCTCCTGGGCAAAGTTGCTCGCCTCCAGGAAGGTCACTTCGCGTTCCTCCTCCATGTCTTTCTTGTTGCCCACCAATAGGATGCAAATGTTCTGCGAGGCCAACGTTCGAGCATCGTTCAGCCAGTTCGAGAGGACATTGAAACTGTCCCGGGAGGTTGTATCGTACACTAGCAGGGCACCAGCTGCTCCTCGGTAGTAGGACCGTGTAACCGACCGGAACCGTTCCTGACCAGCCGTGTCCCAGATCTGCAGTTTGATGGACTTGCCACCGACATTTACGATCCGGGATCCAAACTCGACGCCAATCGTGTGGGAGCTGTCCTCCTTGACTGAGGAAGTAACGAAAAGGTATTATGTATCAACTAGCTTGAAATTATCTTCGATTGCTTCGCTTGATCAATACATTCTTATCATAAATAAAAACACTACATTCAAACCGGCTTCACCTAAGCCAGCACAACAAACTAAACAAATAGGAAAATCGATTTCATGTTGGCAGTAAATAACAATCCACACACAAGTAAGTCAATGATACACATTAGGTAGGTACCTACTTCTGCGAACGAACGCATTAACGAGGAACTTCGCCTCGAATGCGTTCTAGGCCACCCACTGCCATTATCGCCCACCACCCTACACTCCCCTCCCAACGGTACCGTTAACAAATTAACACAAACAACACTTTCATGACTTCAGCTATTGCAGAAGGGAATTATTGGCGAATACCTACATTTGTTTTCGATAAAGTGATGCAGCAGGCATGATTTTCCACTTCCCGCTCGGCCGATGATGAGAAATTTGAAGAGATAATCTGAAGAAACACAACACCAAAAAAATAGAAACTGTTATGGGAGAGCTCAAATTTCACTGCAATCATCATCGCCTTTCTCGATGCAGAAGAGGCTTCACGTCGTCATCATCACGGAAGTGCGGTGCGTTCATCTGATCGCTCTCTCCTGTACTGCCTATGCCTTTACCAGCAAGTACAACAAAAGAAACAATCGCAGACGAAACCCCCGAAACCCCGTTTTCATTTTCCGTACTTGTGTATCAACTCGAACGATCGGAAAATGTAAATGAGTTCGTGCAAAATCCTCGTCCATCTTACCGTAGGATTCGGACATGGTTGTTTTTGTTGTTGCTTTTCTTCGCGATAGGAATTCAAATCCGGAGCCCTAGGTCGGGAAGTTCACCGGATTACTAAACCGAACAATTTAAAGCAGAATGCGAACGGCTAAAACACAATTAACAAACACTTGATAAGCGGAATTTCGCATTTAATTTCGCAGTTTGGGTTTTCCCGTCCACCATTCAACAGCGCACAATGTTTTCAAAATACTTTTGCACTTTATTTTGACGTTTGGTCGGAGAGACACGCAACAAAGAAAAGAGAACGACGATTTTGACGTCCTCTGAAGAAATCCAAGGGTGACGGTGAAAAGGCTTTTTGGTGGGGGCAATACTCGTAAAGGCTGGGATCACATTAGCGCGACCGGCGCCGTATCTCGGAAACGTTTTTTTTACTCAGTGACTTCCCGCATAAACGCAAACCATAAAGGGCCACCCACATTAGATCCGTTTGCGTTGCGTTGACGTAAATTTGACAGTTAGACAATAGATTTAGCTGTCACTTTGCCGCAACGCGTCCGATTCGGATCTAATGTGCGTGGGCCTTAACATGACCTTATTGGCGTTGACGGCGACTCTGTACACAGCAAAAAAAAATGTAATATCGATCAATGTAATTTAATCTAATGTATGAAATAATGATGTAATAGCAAAAAGCAGATACAATATTACATCAATGGTTGTAATTTTGTTCGCAAAATCGATGTACATCGTACAACGTTATATTACACAACCGATGGATTGACCTGGTTGCAGCAGTTTGGATGTAATATTCAACAACTTTTTTTTCTGTGTAGCTCTTTACTCCTATGAAAAAATCCATAGGCAAATGTCAGACTCTGTGTGAAACATGGCGGACTTTATACTACACAGAAAAAAATGTAATATCGATCAACGTAATTCAAGCTGATGTATGAAATAATGATGTAATAGCAAAAAGAAGATACAGTATTACATCAATGGATGTAATTTTGTTCGCAAAATCGATGTGCGTCGTAAAACGTAATATTACACAACCGGCGGAATGATCTCTGTGCAGCTGTTTGGATGTAATATTTAACAACTTTTTCGTCTGTGTATCCTTTCACTACACCGAAAATTCCCATAAGAAACTGTCTGCAAGAGCAAATTTTTCGACAGTGCCGTCAACGCCAATACCAACCGGTGGAAACTAACGATTTAAAATTGGCTCACTACTTGACTAGCCTATTGGTCTCAAGCAAATCGTATCCCATTCTAGTCGAAATTCTAGTGCTACACTATGTTTGTTTTGATTCGCTATGAAAGTTTGACAGATAAAATGAGGGGTTCGTGGATTTTTCCTATGTTTCGAGGGGTGCATCGGTTAGCTTGGGACCGAAGAGAGTACCAGAGCTGAGCCAAAAAGTTGAGCATGTTTCTTCGGGACCTTCTACACTCACAAAATTCGACACATTTTTATTGGCGAATTTCCATGAAAAATACCACATGATTATCAAGTGTCCAAACATAAACAGAATCCACTCAGAAGTACGCATGAAATTTATGAGTCAAATGAATAGTATGTGTGGTTACACATGAATTTTATGTGTACACATAAGAACTATGTGTCCAACACATATATATCATTTGTTTATCACATTGCAAAAATTCATGTGTGGGACACATAAAAATAATCATTGAATTTTTATTAGTGTAGTCTTATAGTACGTTCAGACTACAGAGTTATAACATGTTATAGCGCTATCTTGATGGTGGTTTCTGTGTTGCAATTAGTTGACAACCGTTATAACATGTTATAAATCTCCAGTCTGGACAGCGTTTTAAACGCTGTCCAGACTGGAGAGTTATAACATGTTATAACGGTTGTCAAATAATTGCAACACAGAAACCACCATCAAGATAGCGCTATAACCACTAGCGTGCACAGGGATCTTGTTAAGGAGGGGCAATTTTTTTTTCTATGGTGCATTTAATCTGGAGATGGGGAGTACTTCAAAGTGCGTGGTGCATGGTGCTGTCTATCCACCACTGTTTCCCTACCGTTCAATTTAGCTAATTTTGTTAATTTTTTGCTCCGGTGGTGATTCATCTTCTGCAATGCAAACTGCTTTCAGACAGCCAATGGAATTGACAATTTAATCCCATCGACGATGTCGATGATGACCGGTTCGTCAAATGGATGCAATAATAACCGAAATGATACATTTGCTGCAATGTTGTTGCCTTGGTGGTTGGATTCAGCTGAAGTCACAACAGCTGGTAGTGATAGCACCGACAAACCGACATAAATGACCAATAAGAACTACATTCTCCTTTCGCATGCACACTGCGTCGACAAGTACAAGGTTAAAACAGTGCGCATAGCAGTGAACAAACAGTATATTGCTCTTGATCAATCCAATCTAAGTCTGCAAGTAGTAGATGAAATACGCGTATCTGTCAAAAAATAAGCAATTATAACGGAATTAAAAGGAAATAAACCAACACACTCAAAGCTCTTCATAAAAATATATTGCTGTTTTTGTCCTTGCACTTGGTTTGTACTTCAGCAGTGCTGCCAGCCATCATGCTGGCACTGTCAAAACATACTGCCATCTAGAAAAACTGGAATACGAGACCAGCGGATACACTGTTATGATTCCAATCTAACTGTCAAAAGCGGTTCCAATCTGCAATGTTTACAAATGGTATGCTTCAATTAGGGAGGAGTTTAACAATCACTCATGAACTCGCTCGTGCGAAGTCACTGGCAAGCAGTTACAAATGTTAGTGATGCCAGGATTACTTTGATGTTTATCGTGTTGCCAAATTCATGTTTTTTTTTCTCCGCTGGTCTCTTATTCCAGTGTTTCTACTGCCATCAACTGCTCCCAAGAAATCTGCATCGCTGTCAGGACCTCAGAAATGGTATTGAAGATGGTCATCGCGTCTGTTGTCAACACCCGTCTCACACCCACGAATGTATCCGTCTGCCGATCATTATCAATATACCTGATGAAAATCACCAACTGCTCGGGGTGGCCACAATCGCTCGTCTAATCTGCAATGATTGCCACTAGTTTTCCTCGCAAGGTTTTCGCAATGTTCCGCAACATTACATTGTGCAACGACGTAATCATGTCATTTTGAATACGGTTACTTATGTACTGGCATTTTTTGACACCTTCCGCCAAGTGTTTTCCAGCACAGGATCGTAGTTAGCCACCAACTGGGAGGCACATTTTCCCAGAATGTTCACGAAGTGGTCGGCCACCTTTGCAAAGTATGCGCACAATATCGATGAAATGTTCCATTATATAGTGATTTTGTAGCCGCTTTGCCTTATACACCGTACAGGCTATGGCTTATATTATGTAATATAGGCTGTCTAGTAATGAGCACTCATACATCTAGTTTTCACTGGAAATCCTATATGGGAGTGCTCATTGCAAGACAGTCTATATTACATGATTTTCTCGGTATTCTTTTCGAAATTATCTTGGAACTATCTGCAGGATGCTCTAGAAATTATCCGCAGAATTTTCTTTGAAACAGAAATATTTTGGAACTGTCCTAAAAATTCAATATCCTTGAGGCTCTTTTCGGAATATTTTCGATTTTTTTTTTTGTCAGAACACCTTGGAACTGAAATTCCCCTAATATTTTAGAATAATTTCCTCAGTATGCCCAAAAATTCTTTCCAGGATGAGCTTGAAATTACCCTCGGAATATCCTTGAAATTTTCCTCAACATCCCTTTGTAATTTCATTCAAAATTTGATTCTCTCGGTATTATGTTCAAAATTATCATGGAACTATCTGCAGAATGCACTAGAAATTATTCGCAGAATTTTCATGAAATCATCCCCAGAAATCTTTTCTTTTGAAACTGTCCTCAGAATTAATTACTCTTGAGGTTCTTCTCGGAAATTTTCAATAAAGCAGCCCCTCCATTCACCAGAACTGTGCAATTTTTGCATAAGGAATTTTCAATTCAGCTGGCCCCTCCATGTAGCAGATTGTTGCAAATCTTACACCAGAAATTTTCAATACAAACTTGCCGTCAGGTAATTTTAAACCAGAAAATTTCAATTGACTAGAACCATGCAAATTTTTCACCGTTATTGTTCAATAAAAATTGCTTCTCTAATCTTCTGATTGCTGCAGATTTCCTTATTCGATTTTCCACCAGACATTTTCAATATAGATTGCTTCTCCTGTCATCAGAATGTTGCAGGTTTTCCACCAAATAAAGATTGCCCCTATTTTCAGATTTTTCATCATAAATCTACAGTAAAGTAGCTTCCCTCCAATCATCAGAATGGTGCAAATGTTACACCAGAAATTATTATTAAAATTTGTTTCTCTATTCAGCTAAAGGATGCAAAATTAAGACAAAAAAAAATCGGAAAAGCTTGCCCATCCTTTCACCAGAACGGTGCAGATTTTCCACCAGAAATTTTCAATGTAGCTTAATTTTAAATAAAGTTTGTGCCTTCATTAACCATACCAGTGCAAGTTTTCCACCAGAAATATTTTAATTTATCAGAGCGATGCAAATTTTGCACCAAAAATTTCAATAAAGCATACTCCTGCATTCACCAGAACGGTGCACCAAAACTTGTCAGTAAAGTTTGTTTCACCATGCACCTTTGTGGTGCAATTTTCAGGCTTTGCCTCTTCATGCACAAAAATGGTGCAAATTTTCCACCATAAATTTTCAATGAAGCTCGCATTCATCAGAAAGATGCGCACCAGAAAAATGATTAAACCTTGCTTCTACATTCACCTCAGTGTTGCGAACTTTCCACCAGAAATTTTCAGTTAAATGTGAACCTCCAAATTTTTAGCGTGATTCAACTTCGTCGTTAATTTCTCCTCCATTTTGAGAATTTGCACGCTCCTCCAGCATGGTTTCATAATGAAGGCAATTTCGTCTATAACCATAGAAAAACATTATCATACAGTTCCATTTAATGTTCACATTGAAAAAACAGGAATGTTAAAGTTTCTTATGGTTAAGGAGTATACGCAACAATTTAATAAAGGTTTTGTATATGGTAACTATATCTTGTACAGTTGAATTACATTATTACTGTAATGAATCAAGTATACATAAACCATAATCAATATGGTAACCTCAATTCGAACCGTTGGGATAAAGTCGTACCGGTTATCGAAATGGTATTTAATTATGCGGGCCTCCCTGCGAGAAAAAACTCGCGTGCAAATTCGGCAAACAAAATTCACGCTTGAGATTCTCATGCTCATTCCAGTTTTAAACTCATAAAAACCACTCAAACGTCAATTGATACCATGCCTATGGATTTTGTGTTAGTTTTCCAGCCCCTGATGCACAAACAATAGTACTAGCAATAGTAATAACAATGAATAACGCTAAAATATAAAGCAGTGAATTTTTTAACCTGATAACTCATCGGTGATTTTTGCGACGTTGAATTTTGCAAGGCAAAACTCATAGGCGCATAAACACTAATGCATGAGATTTGAGTTTTTGAGTTTTTTTTTTCGAACACAGCCCGATTTCTATGGAGATACCGTTTGTCTCAAGTAACAGCGCAGAGTAACCCGTGAAAAGTGTGCGTTCGTCGTTTCACTTCCTCATTATTAAAGTGAATAAATCGAACTGTTCGTTGCTATGATGATTTCGGTGGTCCTAAAGGAGACATGATTGATAATACTCACGAATATTCTGGTAAATACACTTTGACTTAAGTAACATTAGGAGGCCACCAAACGACGTATAATCAACAATCAATACGAAACTAACGATTTTAAATTGGCTCACCACTTTAGTAGCCTATTGGTCCCAAGCAAACGATTAACGTACCCTATTCTAGTTGAAATTCTATTACTACACTATGTTTGTTTTGATTCGCTATGAAAGTTTGACAGATAACATCAGGGGTGTGTGGATTCATGCAGAACATGCAGGGGTGAGTGAAATAGCTTGGGACTGCTTGGGACCGTTTTTCTGGTACTGAGTGAGCCAAAAATAATAATGATTTTCTTCGGGACCCAGTGGTCTTAGAGTTACCTCTATGGTATAATCACCGATATTCTTGTTTTCGTTCGAACCGTATCTTCCATACAAAAAACCTTTTTTTGTATGGAATATACAGTTCGAAAGAAAACAAGAATATGGGTGAATAACTTTTAACTCAAAAACCAGTATTTTTAGCATGAAAGTTAGCGATCTGCTTTGTATGATTAAAACCCTGCTTATTATTAATGTTAAACATTGCTATCACTATGAGATTAAATGTGTTTAATTGGAAATAGGAATTCAAAACAAAACTTATTTTTTCTCGGATCAGTGCTATAGGGGAACTTTTTCTTTTCGTGTAATAAATATTAGTATTAGTGGCGACATCACCAATTTTTTTTACAGTGTCACAGTGTTACGCTTTGCTGTCACACGCCAAAACCAAAACAAAGTGAGTGAGAAGATAAACATCATCCACCCACAATTTGCCAGGTGATTTTAAATTTATAAGTTTTACTCTCGGTTTTACTTAAAAAATCCCCCGTAAAAATGCCCGAATCGGCTTTGACGGTGTTCGAAAAGGACAATTTCAATGCCGAGAAATGTAAGTATCGCCGCATTCTGATGTGAAATGCGTTGAAATCCAGTGATTGAACTTTCCTTCCGTTCGCATATAAATAACAGACGTCAAAGAGTTGGTGCAGGATTGCGTCGGCGGACCGGAACTGCAGCAAACGAAAGCCAAGATCCAGAGCCACAGTGACACGGTATCGTCTACGCTGAAGAAGCATGTCTACGAAAATTATATGCAATTTATCGAAACGGCCAAGGAGATTTCCCGTGAGTTGGTGTTCCGGATCTTTTTTTTCATCGATCTAAATTGCGAGGTATTTTCTAGACTTGGAATCGGAAATGTACCAGCTGTCGCACATCCTGATCGAGCAGCGCAATCTGCTGTCAACGTTGCGGGATGAGTCGATGCTGGAGGATCAGAAGTACATCATCGAGGATCAAAGTGTCGATCCGAACGTGAACGACGAACAGCAGAACAGGAAGGCGATTCAGTTGATTAAGGAGTCGTTGATGGGATACAAGGTATGCCGGGCGGGGTAGCAAAAAGCCAGCTTAAAGAACTGTCTATTTCAGGGAACGCTGGACGACAAGGTGTTCATCTATGAAGGCGGTTTGATCGAATTGGATCCTAACGATTACAGACCAATCTGCCGGATTCACATATTTCTCTTCAATGAGATTCTGGTGCTGGCTAAGGTCAAGCATGACAAGTAAGATTTCCCTGGTTAAGATTTTTTTTTTTGTATTTCAGTAAAATGATTACATTTACATAGGAAACTGGAATTTCTCACCGAGTACGACACCAAGAAGATTGCCGTCATCAACATAAAGGGCCTGGACGGGGTCAACAAGAATGCGATCAACATTTTCACTAGCGATGGGGCGCGGATCTTCCAGTGCGTCAATTCCGCTTCCAAGCTGGAATGGATCGACAAGTTTGAAGTGGCCATCAAGTTTAACCAGCTGAAGCACAAAAAAGGGCCCGCTCCGCAGCCTCCGACGACGTTGAAGTTTGTTCAGCAGAAATCGGTCGATAGTGAGCTGCTCAGCCCGACGACATCGAAAGTGGTTTCCATCGTGGAAAAGCTGGCACCAGATTGGTTGACCTCGGCTCCGGAGGAAATTCAGGCTGAAATTGCCCAGCGTCACTTTGAGGATTGTTTGATGCTGGTGCAGAAGTGCGAGGAGTATCTGGTCAAGGACAGTGGTTTCCGAGGGGCGGCAGAAATTAGGGAGAAAATCAAGGGGCTTAAGAGCATGCTGTCGTCAGTTTTGATGCAGGAGTTGTCCACTTCGCAGAGTCGGAGCTTGCAGGCTGCTCTGCGTTCGAGTCGACGTCCCTTGAAGCTGCTGGTGGAGATGGGAAAGGCGCGGGAGGCTTGTGGGATATTGTTGAGGGTTTGCAGCAGTGCTATTAGGACTTCGCAGCGACAGGCACGGCGTAACAATCTGGCCGTTTCGGAGCTGTTCTTTTGCGATGTGGCTCAGGTTGCTAGCGAGTTTTTGCGAGCGTTCAATAGTAAGGCTTCCTGTACGAGTGGTAGGTGGTTGGTTGATTGAGGTTTGATTGGGATGAGCTTTGAAACATTTTAAATATTCCAGCTTTGATCGTTTGGTGCAACATGGAACTGCAGTACTTTGCTTCGCAGCTGATCAAACATTACCTTACCAAGGATACTCAGCTGGAGATGGTAGCCAAGGTGGTGGAAGGCGTCCGAGAACCGTGCACCAAGTTGACGGAGATTGGATTGGATTTGTCCTATCATATGGAAGGCTTGCTACGGAATACTCTGGATAAACTCCTCGAGGAAGCCAAGTATCGTCTGGTGGATTCCATTGGGCGAACCGAAGATGTATGGCAGCCTTACAACCTACAGACGAAGACCAATCTGAGGAATGTTTTGAAAGAATTTGACGCATTGGGATTGGACATGAAGCCACTGGTGACCGGAGATACTTGGATCAATCTTACACAGACCACGGTGAACTTTTGCCGGCACTTTATGACCACCACGGAAAGCTGTGCCTATCTGGCCAAGTACGACTCGCTGAAGTTGGATGCCGAGATGCTTCTAAAGGAACTTTTCCTGGCCCAGCACGTCGTCAAGCCGCACTCATCGATGAGCGTCGATCTGAACTTCATCGCCAAGAACAAGGTCTACATGGCCGAGATGCTGCTTCCGATTGCAATCGGTCGTTTCGAGAAAATCTCTGACAAGAAACCGGATCTGCTAGTAGAACTGCAAATGCAGCTGAGGGGACCACCTAAACCGAAACCACGAAGCGTTTACAAAACGGACGTTCTCTAAAGACGCTGACAAAACACCAGAGCCTATCTTACAACGTATTTATTCCATTTAAAGTAATTAAAGTTATGCAAAGTAGAAGTTATGTAACAACGCAAGTGCATGTACCTTTCGAATTGCAGTCCTAGTCGCCGAATGTGATCTTTTTACCTTGAAACTCCTGGATACCCTTCTCTTTCTGCTTGGCAGCCCACGAAGGGTGCAAGTCGGACGGGGCTGGAGTTTCCACGCTTCGCTCCGCGTCGGCATCGAACACGATCTTCTTACCCTGAAACGGTTTTAGTCCCTTCTGCTTCTGCTTGGCGGCCCAAGACGGATGTAGGTCCTCTGTTGACTGCTGCTTCGGTTCCGTCTGCTCACCTGAATCGAAAACGATTTTCTTCCCGGCGAACGGTTTAAAGCCCCTCTGTTTCTGCTTGGCCGCCCACGATGGATGCAGGTCTTCCCCGGCTGGACCCGCACTTTCTTCGGCAGCGTCAAATTTGATCTTTTTCCCCGCAAAAGGTTGAATATTTCGTTGCTTCTGCTTAGCAGCCCACGAGGGATGGAGATCTGGATCTTCTTGGGTGTTGTTCGATCTTTTCGGGAACGATTCCTCCTCATCGAAGCGCTTCCGCTGGCCTTGGAATTGTGTGATGCCTGCAAATAAGTGGAATCAGCAAAAAACAAATACAAGTTAGGCTCATCATTATGTACTCACCTTTCTGTTGCTGCTTAGCCTTCCAGGACGGATGGATATCGTCATAATTATCCCCAGCTTCCTTGCTGCTACTGAAGGGTCGCTTCTGAGGCCTTTCTTCCATCTTCCCGAGGATATCCTTTCGCTTGTTGGATCGCTTCCAGCTGAACTCTTCTTTCTCCTCCTGCTCGCGTTGTTTCTTATCCACAACCGGAGCGGTTGCTACGTAGGTTTGGCCCGAACTCGTCACGAAAAAGCTATCCTGAACTTGAACGCATTTATTCTCAGTATCGTCATCCTCTGAAGGTTTGGATTCCTTCTTCTTTTTCAGCTTTTTCTCCCCTTTTTTTGGAACTTGTTCCTTCTTCACAGTCCTCTCTTTAATCAGAGCCAATTTAACAAACTTCCCTGTTTCTTCCTCCTCACTATCATCGTCGCCATGCGACGATTCCAAACCGGAAGCGCTTCCCATTGACTCCCGACCATCGTCCGCTTCGCAAAATCCCTGATCCTCCGACTCTTGCTTTTCCTTTTTCTCCTTCGCCGCCTTCTTAGGCTTGTCTTTCCTTTTGGTCGTTTTCTTCCCTGCCTGCGCCTTTTTGCCGTCCCCCCGATTCTTCAGATACTTATCCAGCACTTCCAGTTTGCTGTTCAACCCGAACCTCCTGATCAACGTTTTCACTTCCGGCTGAAGTTTATTGTTTTCGTGAAACCTCAGCAGAGCTCGTTCCTCCAAGCCACCGCAGCCGGTGCTCTTTTTTGGTTTAAATCGAATGACGGCCTTGGCCAGCTCCGAGGCCGATTGCGACTTGATGTGGCCAATCAACGCTTCCAGCGATTCCACCTTCTTCGAAGCTCGCTTGTTATCGGCGTTGGTTTCCTGTTTCGCCTTCCAAAATTTAATGTCCCGTACCAGCTTGTGGATGACGTTCTCCCGGGCGATCTTCACGTGGTTCCGGAAGATCTGCAGCTGTGGGTTGAGTAGTTGTAGGGGGATAGTACAAGCATTTGATTGAAAAATGTTACCTCTCGATTCAACTTGTCCGTATCCATCTTTGACCGCGGAATCTGCTCTATTTTCTATTCATAACCAAGGCAAATCGTAGATTAATTTAAAAAAAAATCCGAAAACAGAAAGATCCTGTTTGCACGTTTGTTTTGGTTTATGACAGTTTCAGCTAAGCGTCACCCAGTCGTCACAGCAGTGTTGATTTTCGGAATAATTCTCGAACTGAATACCACCCTTCACCGACGACCAATCAGAGAAGAGGCCTTTTGTTTATCATCATTTGCTTCGGCTTTTTTGAATTTCTGTCTCTCCTCGTTTCGTGTCTTCAATTTTATTGTGATGGTGATCTACAAAAATACAGTGATCTGGATCTTTTGTGCTGCTGCTGCTGAAACAGTATTCAATCAACCGTGAAGATAAGCAAATCGTTTCGACAGCAGAACGGTTGGGTCTTAAGTGTAGTGAAGCAACCACCGAAATAAAAAAGTGAAAGTTGCTGAAACACAATTGCCATTTTCTTTTTTTCCCGCTGTTGGGAAAGATGTCCGCACTTCTTGGAGTGCAAATTTGCGTTTTTGCAATTTTTTTAGGGATCTCAGGTGCCCATCGTAATGTCCTGCTTCTACTTGGTAAGTCTGAGCCCTTTATTTCCCAGTAATCTTCAGAATAACCGACAACTTTCTCGTAGCGGACGACGGTGGTTTCGAGATCGGGGCCTATCGGAACAAGATCGTCCAGACCCCGAAGCTGGATGCCCTCGCCAAACAGAGTCTGATCTTCAACAATGCCTACGCTTCGGTGAGCAGTTGTTCGCCCTCGAGGGCATCGATCCTGACCGGAATGCCGGAACACCAGAATGGGATGTACGGATTGCACAACGGGGTGCACAACTTCAATTCCCTGAACAAGGTGAAAAGCATTTCGAAGATCCTGAGCGACGCCGGTGTGACGACCGGGTTGATCGGTAAGAAACACGTCGGGCCGGGAGAGGTTTTCAAATTCGATTACGAACGCACGGAGGAGCAGTATCCAGTCAATCAGGTTGGGAGAAACATTACCAATATCAAACTGTTTGTGAGAGAATTCCTGAGAGAAAGTAAGGAGAAGGATCATCCATTCTTTTTGATGGTGTCGTTCCACGATCCGCACCGTTGCGGACACATAACTCCTCAGTACGGACCGTTTTGCGAGCGTTGGGGATCCGGCGAGGAAGGAATGGGCTTGATTCCGGATTGGCATCCGATTTACTACGTTTGGGACGAGTTGATCCTACCGTATTACATCCCGGACACTGAACCAGCTCGTAGAGATGTCGCTGCCCAGTACACCACCATCTCCCGCCTCGATCAAGGTGTGGGTCTGGTACTCCAGGAACTCGCGGATGCCGGTTTCGAGCAAGACACCTTGGTTGTCTACACGTCCGATAATGGACCTCCCCTACCGGCCGCTCGAACCAACCTGTACGACCCCGGAATGGCTGAACCCATGTTCATGCGTTCTCCGAACCCGGAAAGCCGCCGAAACGACGTAACATACTCTATGACCAGCCATCTCGATCTGGTACCAACTTTCCTCGAATGGTTCAATGTCTCCTACCCGATGGACGAACCATTGACCTCTGATAATCTCGACACCAACGCAATCGATCAAACCCCGGCGAAGCCCCTTCTAACCGGCAAATCGCTTCTTCCCCTTCTTTCCGCCGAACCTCCCTCCGATCCAGATCAAGCCGTGTACGCTTCCCAGTCGTTCCACGAAATCACCATGACCTACCCGATGCGAGCCGTCCGCACCAAGCGCTACAAGCTGATCCACAATCTCAACTACCAGCTGCCGTTCCCCATCGATCAGGACCTGTTCGTGTCGCCCACTTTCCAGGACCTACTCCAACGCACCACCAACAAGCAGGACCTTCGCTGGTACAAAACTCTCCGGCAGTACTACCAGCGTCCCGAGTGGGAGCTATTCGATCTGAAGTTGGATCCTGCGGAGAGGAAGAATCTCGTTGGAAAGCCGGTGGCGAAGGAGATTTTCGAGAAGTTAAAAGTAAAGCTAAGCAAGTGGCAGGAGGTGACGGACGATCCGTTCCGCTGTATGCCCGGGGGAGTGCTGCTGGATACCGGTGAGTATCTGAACAATGCCACCTGCTTCAGCCTGGGACAGTGAGAGGAGAAGTTAGATTTTAAAAGCGTGCGAATCGAAATATACCCGCAATGTGTTACGAATGAAGTTTTATAAACTGTTAGATTTTAGGTGTTGGAAGCTTTTGGAGATCTTTATGTTTGTATTGTAATACAATGTTTTATAGAAAATGAGGTGAATGTTTGTTTGTCCGAAATTTCCATGGTGTACAAAAAAACAGAACACAGAAACTTCTGAATGACTAGCATTAGGGCGAAGACAACATATCAAGAAGACTTTTAACTCTTCCAATTTATCATACGTCCGCTATGAGACAGGTACAATCGCGCCATCTGCCGCTCAAAGGTAAATGCTCTGATCGAATGTTTTAGCGATGAATTCAACCATAGAAGAAAAGTGTGTGTATTTGCTTATTTTCAGATCCCTTTCACTATTTGGAATGTATAGAGACAGATAACAGCGCCATACGGTTTGTAACGAGACACTTCAATTTGCGAGAAATCGGCGATTGTCGTGTTTGTTTACAAAAGCAATTACGCCCTAATCTCAAAGTTCTCCGGAAATACGAACAATAGTCGCCTACCTCGCATAACTGGTTACAAAGACGATGGTTTGTTTATGTTTGGAACCACATTCACATATGGAAAATCAATGAGCGTAAACATTTTTTTTTTTCTTTATTAGAGAGATTTTTAGCCATAGGCTAGTTCATCTCTTATGAGCGTAAACAGGTAAGGCCCAGTAAATTTATCGTCTCTTTCGTTTTCTGGCTGATTAAATGGATGACGGAGTTTGACGTCACACTCCTTTAACCGTTTAAACAGCGGGAGAACGAAAGAGATGAGAATTTCACTGAGCCTTACATAGGGTTAACTACCCCATTTCCGGCCTATTAAGCACAACCTGCACTTCATCTTTCTTAATCTAGAGCAGTTTAGCACCAAACGGAATGTTATTATCACTGATGGCTTCCAAATTTATTTACCTTTCCGTACGTACAGTAAGATTCGAAAAAAGAGAAACCAATCGTTGAGATATTGTCCAAAGTCTAACACTGCTTATTGACACCAAACTCGGCCTACGGGTTCTAAACTCGGTCTAACGCATTGAAACGCCAATGAATTCACTTCGGCCTATCGGATGAAGATAAAAATTGATTCAGTTTGTTTTTTTTCTTTTGTTTTTGGAAATAATGGGTGCAAACCTTAGCTTAGGCCTCCCTTAGCTCAGTCGGTAAAGGCGCAGCAACAAAGCAAGACCATGCTGGAGGTGGCTGGGTTCAATGCCCGGTCCGGTCTAGGAATTTTCCGGGTTGGAAAATTTCTCGACCTCCCTGGGCATAGAAGCATAGAGGTAACTCTAAGACTAGAAGGTCCCGAAATAACGTGCTCAACTTTTTGGCTCCGCTCTGGTACTCTCTTCGGTCCCAACCCGAAAAAAAAATACAGTGAAATTTTCAGTGGAAACAATGCTCTAACATTAATATTTATTGTCGACAATAAAAATGATTGTTAAAATGTTGTACTCTTCCGAAAACGGCAAAACTGCTACCTAGCTGTACAATGAATATACATACTAAAATGTTGTTACAATGATTTTTATCGTATTTTTCATTTATTTTATTGTTAACATGATTCGATCTTGAACAATAATGAACAACTCTATTACAATAAAAATTGTTGTTACATTAAATATTCTTGTGTTTTCATTGTGGGTTACTTCGGTTACTTCACGAACAATAAAAATAAATCTGATTGAAGCATGTAGACTATGAGAGGGACAGCAACACTGCCAATGTAATCAAGATAGGCACTGCCCGTATGGCTCTGGCTTTGACAGTTCGTTTGACTCAAAACCAGCCAGTCCGCGTCCGCTCATCTCTTATCCGAGACCCTCTCTAAAGCTGGGTTAAGATGGTTTAATTCAGCGTTCAACTCACTTGAACTGCGAAATGAACGTCCAGAAATCTGACCGATATCGGACTTGCTCTATTCGTTGTCAAGTAAATTGAACGTCTACGACCAGATCGGGTTGAGTTGAATTGAACTCACCTGCCTCATCTAAATCCCACTTAATGCAGACCTTTTCCGTGCAGCCAATAATCATACAATATAATAATAAAAAATTCCACCACTTGAAGATGTCAGGAAGGAACTTTCAGGTGAAAGCATATTTCATGGGCGATTCTCTCCAGTTGAAAGCATTAACTTAACAACGACGCTTAACCACCAAGGAGACGTGACCTAGAGAGATCAAGTGCAGGGGAGTTGGCCTCCATTTCTGACAAGTTCCTGATCGAATCTCAATCCATAACCAGTAAAAAAGGACTCACCCGTAACAGACATACCACCCCACTTCCCTTCCCGGGGCGATGTTTTATTTTTTCGATTTATTTTTAAAGTCGATAAAGTAGATCTGTCAAGCCAACACATACACTCTAAAGAACACTGTTATTTTTTTTAAATCAATACATTCGCCAACCAACAGTAAAATAACAATAATATATAATGTTATTGAAAAAAAATATATATATATAGGGAAATCACGAAAATTTAATTGTTAAGATACTTAACAACCCCTTGTAAATTGGGTTCTTTAAGCGTATTGAGGTAAATGCATAATCGTAATCTGCATTAAAAATGGAACCCAAACCCAAAATTTCATCAATTTTGGTACACTGGAACTATTTTAAATAAGCACGATTACATTTGCAAAAATCACCTTATTAGCGCCCCTCTGTGTCACTTTGTATGGGGGCGAGCTGTCAGTTTGTTAGTTTAGTGTCAAACAGTGAAGTTATTATTTTGCTTTAAATCTTGATTTAAAAATCGAGATGAAAGAGTGTGGGTTCGAAAAAAATATCGCTGTGCTCAGAAAACGAAGCTCTTTCAGATGATGTATAAAAAACGATACATTTTTCAAAATTAAAGAACCCAATTTTCCATTTACCATGAAATTTACTGTTTTGTACAACATAAATCAAGGTAAATTTATTGTAGCCGTAACAATATAAATTATTGTTCAGACAATAATTTTCGTCTTATTGTTACATGGTTTTTTAATGAATTTTTATTGTCATTTTTTTTGGGAAGCTAATCGATTCACCCCTCGAAACATAGGGAGGATTTCCCTAGCCCCTCATTTTATCTGTCAAACTTTCATAGTGAATCAAAACAAACATTGTGTAGTACTAGAATTTTGACTAGAATGGGGTACGTTAATCGATTTGCTTGGGACCAATAGGCTAGTCAAGTAGTGAGCCAATTTGAAATCGTTAGTCAGCGATTCATCACTTCGTTAAGTAAAACCTGCGCAGGTATGTGAGAGCATGTTTAATTCATGGCCATGATTTGCTCTTTCCCGTAAACCCCTCTCAGAAATCCAATGCGAATGAAGGCTAGAATATAGTGGTGTAACCTTTCGTGAAATTTCGCTGAGCTTTTGATTTAACTCAGTGGCTTAAGCGCCACTCTCTATTAAGAGAGACCACTGGTCGTGTTAAAGCTTTGCCCGACAAATGAGACTTTTCTCTCATAGGACCTCTTGAACGGTCGTTGGTTACTAACGGCAATGAAAAAAAAACTATTAACTTTCTGGAAATGCCAAGTCCTTCAGTAATACAGGAATGGAGCGCATGGACCAAATAAATTAACCAAAGGTATTACCAACAATCAATACGAAACTAACGATTTTAAATTGGCTCACCACTTTAGTAGCCTATTGGTCCCAAGCAAACGATTAACGTACTCTATTCTAGTTGAAATTCTATTACTACACTATGTTTGTTTTGATTCGCTATGAAAGTTTGACAGATAACATCAGTGTGTGGATTCATGCAGAACATGCAGGGGTGAGTGAAATAGCTTGGGACTGCTTGGGACCGTTGTTCTGGTACTGAGTGAGCCAAAAATAATACCCAGACAACCAGAAGTCGTATAATAATGTACAGACAGTATCGTAAATTGCTACAGTTTTAGTCAAAATCGCATATAAGAATGGCATACCTCGCATTATGTTTAAGTTAAATCGTATAGAATGCAAATTTCCGACCAATATGCGATGACTCATTTTTCCATCGTACTGTATCACAAATTAAATCGGACTACATCGTAAGACTTTTCAAAATGAATTTGTTATTACAGATTAAATCGTATATGATGTTAAATCAACTCGTTTAAAATTAAATTAAAATATGCACGTATATGGCCTCCACTTTTGTACGTACAAGCCATTTCTTTGCATTATATACGAATTGTTTGTTTGTATATATGTTTGTATATCACGAAAACAACTTTGAATATACGTGCATTCTGGTTGTCTGGGTAATGATTTTCTTCGGGACCCAGTGGTCTTAGAGTTACCTCTATGGTATTACTCTGACTCACCCCCGAAACGAAACGGTAAGAGAACGAAGGAATGTTGACTCAACTGAGCGGAAACGAAAGAAAACAGAACGTAACGTAGTAAGTGTGTTTTATTCAGGGAGTAGCATTCAAAACGTTCGAAAAACTAATTTTCAAAATTTTATTTAAACAATCTTTTACTGCCAGCTGCTCTAACAATTTCAGTCGAAAGAATTGTCAAAAACTGTTTTGAAACGCTTTTACAAAGCTCCAATCTTCTCTAGTGAGAGCGAGTATTGTCGGCAACCAGTTTTTCTTCGGCAACCGTTCCATTTGAACTGCATGTAAATCTACTGTTCTATTATCGGCAACTCGAAATCTGCTACAATTTGTAGTGCGTGTTGCATTTCAAGAAAACCTTGCTAGATTGCTTTTTCTCAGTGGTAAAAATATAGTCAAATTGAAGCTGAAAGCATAAAGAATCGTTTGCATGCATTCAGCGAAGTGTTTTCGTAAGAAAATCCAGTGAAAATAGTGTTTCAATTTGGGTTGCCGAAAATAGTCTGTCATGCCGAAGCCGTCATTTCCCCTATATTCTAGCATTCATTCGCATTGGATTTCTGAGAGGGGTTTACGGGAAAGAGCAAATCATGGCCATGAATTAAACATGCTCTCACATACCTGCGCAGGTTTTACTTAACGAAGTGATGAATCGCTGACTGCTGTCCGATGAGGGCTCAACGACTCGATGATGGCGGTGTAGCGATGGCGGCGTAAACGTGATGGTGCCGCTCACATGCTGCAGTATGGCGCGCAGCAACGGAAGGT